ATATATATATATATATATAAATAATGATTGGTAAATTATTAATAAACCTAAATTGATGTGGAAAACAAATCAAAAGGTATACCACAGACTTAACCATAATGTTTAAATGGCTTAGTCAAAGGTGATTCTGAACAAATTTGTTTTAAATCCTGATTTAACTAATGGGTTTCAGGGCTTTGATAGTTTTCTAGGAGTTTATTTCATATCTGTGGAGCATAGGAACTAAATAATGTTTCTTCTTGTTGGGTTCTGGTTCTGGGTATGCAGAGTAGATTAGAAGCAGAAGACCGTAGAGGTCTGGGTGGTTAATCCACTGACATCAAGTATGTCATGTATTTTGTTGTTAAGCCATTCTGTGAAGTACTTATTTAAGTGTCTTCTCTGAGATACGGGGAGCCAGTGTAGCGTTTGCAGCACTGGGGTACTGTGTGTTCATGTTCTTTGTTTTGGTGAGGACGAAAGCAGCAGCATTCTGGATCAGCTGTAGCTACGTGATCCACTAGGCAGACCTGTTAAGACATTGTTAGAGCATGAATTAGTCTTTCACGGTCCTGCTGAAATGTTAGTCCTTTAATCATGGAGATGTTCTTTAGGTGGTAGGAGGCTGAATTTATCACTGTCTTTATGTTCCACTAAAGGTTCAGCTGTAGAGCCTGATTGGTGGTTTCTAGTTGGATTTACTGAAGCTATGTTAACTATTGAAAACTATTCTTTTGGTCCTTCTAAGCATTTACCCAGCATTTGAATTGGTTAAAAGTCACCAGGTGACATGATAGTAATGTACAGCTGTTTGTCATCTGCATGGTTATGGTAGCTTATGTTGATTATTTATCTATATCTATGTTTATTATTGATCTATCTATATCTATGTTTATTATTGATCTATATGCATCAGTGAAATTCTTCACTGATGCATATAGATAAATGTCATCATATTACAGTGTAATTAAACATTATAAATTCAAGCACAAGGCCAATTGATGTAAAACCAGATTTATTCAGAAATGTATCATACAGTAAAACATTATGGAATATTAATCAGTTAGGGTAATGTTAACAGCGTATCATGCTAACACCTGTATATAGCAGGTGGGAGACCTGCAGGTTTAACTTGCAATACAGATTTTTACAAATAAGCCAAGCCAATTTTCACTTTGAATAAATGATAGATAAAAGCTATTGTGTCACGGAAATGACACCAACAGAAATTTGCTTAACCTGCTGAAGAAGTTTATTTTAAGATGACTCAAACTAAGCCTACTCTACTGACTGCTCAAACTCTCACGCAACCTTAAATGAGAAGAACAACTTATTCTATTTAACGTATATCTATATCATGGTGTGTAATTATAACCTAAATGATTGGTTTTAACCTTCAGAGCTGCAGACCCACTTTGGGCCAGCCTCAGAGTGTGAGGGTGCAGAGAAAGATGATGAGGTGGATGAAGAAGAAGCAGAATATGGCCCTGTTTTAGCTCCGACCTCAGATGACCCTGGATCCACACCTGACCCCGCCCTAAGTTGCACCAGTACTGTGAATTCCAGCCACGCTCAGGAGGCTCAGCGCTTGCACGCCCCATTAGGAATCCAGCTTGGACGACTCAAGCAGGAGACCAGCAGGTATGAACAAAAACAAAGGACCAGCACATGTTTTTTGCAAAATGATACAAAGTGAGGTGGAAACTATTTACTGTGCGTTGAGGCAAATGGAACTTCAACAGTTCATTTCAAACCAGTATTATTAGATTGTTGGTTTATTAGTGGAGCAGAAAGTGATGTCACTCTTAGGAAACAAACACACCTGAAGGCATTTCATAAATGTACGTTTGGTCTGTGGGAAGTTTCCATTTGAGTATGTGTTTTAAGTTCCAATATATAGCAGCTGAACAAAATGTTATTACAACTGAAGCTAAAACTTTGTGACTTGTGCACAGGTGAAACAATTTCAAAAGCAATTAATTAAATAATAATTTCCCAGATATGATATAGAACTTTGTAAAGAATTCCTACAGATTTTTTGAAACACCATTTTTTAAAGTGAATGTTTCATACATTTGTCATTGTATTATTTTGATTATAATTAATAATAATTATTATTATTATTATTACTATTGTAATAATAATAAGGTTGCATGTATCAACATTGCCTCTTAGATGTCGGTGCTATGCATACAGATTTCTAGCAATAGTTAATTTGGAACCTCTTTCTCGGGGTTGTTTTTCAGGATTCAGTTTAAAAGCATTTCAAATATTACTACCATATAAATAGAAAATTGCATTACATTACACCTATAAAAATCTGAAAGCATGCACCCAGGCTCGTTCTGCACACATGTACATTTTTGCTCTTTAGACACATGCATTTTTATCCAATGATGAATTTCCAGGGACCTTTCAGGGATCCCTGAAAATTCATCACTGAATAATCTTCAGATTATTATCGACTGCAGTTCTTTAAGTAATACCCTCACTGAAAACCACATCATTACATTTCCACCTTAAAAAACTTACAGAAGTCGGTTTTAAAAACTAGCTTTTCAGTCACCATACCTTGGGGCTAACCTGACTTGAAAGTGCCCTAAATGTTAGCTTGTGAAACAAGTTTGCAGGCCCTGCTACTCTAGCCAAGGAAAATACAAAACACAACACATTTGCAGCTTGCAGTATGACATAGTAAGCTAGTTTATCAGTTATCAGTGCATTGAATACAAAAAGTGGTAAAATATTGTCATTCTGATCTATGAAAGCCCAAGGAGCTCATACCCCTTTATTTGAGAAGAAATAATTACAGTATATCCAAAATGGAGACGGAAATCAGAGGGAATACTTCCTTAAAAACTTGACTGGAACTGGGTCTAACATACAAGTTTAAGGTTTAGATAAAGGTATTTAGCTCACTTTTAATGCTTAATTGGATCAAAACAGTCTAAACCCAATTCAGGTTCTGCAGTTACTTCAGCGGCTGCCTCAATTATTTATTTTTTTCATAGGCTCAAAGTTATTGATAAGCAATCCCATAGAAGCATTACTGCTTAAATTTCACCCTATGTGTTTGGCAACTAAATAAAAAAAAAAATCCAGAATAGTTCTTATTCTATTAGTAAAGAGGAATATGCTGTTCTAGCTCTAAAAATGGGTCATCATTTACGGCAGTAGAATGTTTTTTCAGATTCAGTTGGATTCCTGTAGTCAAGTACCATTTTTTATGCAGTATCCTAGAATTAGAATTATCCATCAAAGGATGTAGCTCTGTGTTTAACCAAGAAACCAGCCTCATATTGACAAAGTTCTCACTTTTAAAGGGACTGTGTTGTCTAAAGCAGTACACAGAGAATTAGTAAGCCCATCATCAAAATCATCAATTTGTGAAGTGGAATATATTAAATGGTTGCCTCTGCAGTATTGTTCAGTGATACAGAGGAAATAAAAAATGGAAAAGATTCTTTAAAACGTATTACTGCATTAGCTGATAATGATCTGCTAAACTGAAACAATATTAGTTAACTCTGTTAAATTAAGGTTTAAGGTTACTAAGTGTTCAGATAGGGTTATGAGGAAATACTGTTATTTCATCACCATCAATGCAATGTTTCAGCGCAAGATCGAAAGTATGAAGATTGGATAGTGTGGGTCTATGCACATTTTGAACAAAGCCAATCCAGTCTAAGATGGCTTTAAAGGTTGCATTTAATCTGTCACCATCAATTTCAGCATGAATATTAAAATGTCCTGCTATAAAGTCCTTGTCAGCATTTACATCAGATAGGAAGTCTGAAAAATTATCTGGACCTTGTGGAGAGTAAAAAGTTACAAGCAGATGCTTTGTTGCTTTACAATTTGGATGGGGAAACTAAAGGTTAAATGTTTAAAAGAGTTAAAACTATTAATTGGCCTTGCACTGATCAATAAATCAGGCTAAAAGATTGTTTCTACTCCTCCTCAGACATAATTTCTGGGCATGTGAAAATGTAAATTAACCCTCTTGTTGAAGACCGGTTTAATTTATTTTGTGTGTATCAAACTTTTTTTGAGCCTTTGTTATTAATACTACATACTTCTTTAAACATGATTCCCCTGGTCCGTATCAGGTTATAAAACAGTAAAGTTTACTTAACGATTTATTATCTATTTTTGCATCATTGTTAACATGACTGGGCAAAGCTTCGTCAAAGCAAGAAGATAAGACCAAATCTATTCTGATTTGGTCTTATCTTCTAAAGGATATTGTGTCAATGGTCTTCTGGATCATTCAGATGCAACTCTGCAAATCTATTTGTGCTACTGCATTCTTCAGGTTGAGAGAGGTTTGAGGGTTTTCCCCTTGCACTTAATTCAAACAAGCTTAACTAGTTTTCTCTAGTGTACTGTCATGAACTCTTCTGACACTATACTTTGTCTAATACACTTTGTCTTAGATTAAGCTCTTGTGTGTTTCAGTTTCTCTGATCTTTGCAGTCTGACCCAACTGAGATGTCCTCATCTAGGGTAGTTTGGTATCCAATTTAAATGATTTCCACTAGTGAATAATCTCTCTCTATAAAGTGATAGAATTAAAAAACTGTCATATAACCCATTCCAAATTGAAATGCAGCAAAACATGTATTTCTGGCATTGGTCCATTTTGTTCTTCAAACACTAATCTTAAATTAAACACAGTGGCAAACTGCAAAAACCTTTACTTTTGTGCATTTTTTGTAAACTTTATGGGACACTGATAAATTTAAAGTATGGTAAGGACTTTAGAAATAACCTTAGTTATGTTTCAGTAGTGTATGTAGAGAAAGGAGCAAAATATATTATCCGTAAATGTAAGCGTGTCTTGGTAAACAGAATAAGCAGGAGGGCAAATTGAGTTCTCATTTACAGAAAGGGTTGTATAGTTTTTCCAGGACTTCAGTGTCTGTCAGAAAAAAAGAATGATGCTGATTTTTCTGGCTTTTAGAGATTTAGCCAGCATCTAAGTATCATGAGAACAAAGAACAAAATGTTCTGTCTTTTACAGACTAGCACAAAGTCCGTGGGAGGAACCAGAGACGTCTCCCCTCAACCTATTTATTTATAAACACTCTGCACTGAAAGACATCAGATCAATTTCTTTTTAACATTTTTCCATTTACCAGAAAGGCTTTTTGCAATATTTCCTTAGCAGTTAAGTTTAAACAGTAGGACTGTCTGATGCTGATATCATACGAGCACTAACAAACTATGATGACAGCCTTCACAGAGAGCAGGCTGTCAGCAGCAGAGATTGATCTGAAGTTAAGCTGTAACTGCAGCCTGAGGCATATTCCCATGTCTAACGGTGATGAAGACGCTGTCTGACATAGGACCTGTCTCTACCAGCCTTATGTGTTTTTTTTAAAGCAGCTTAAACTTTAAAGAAGCATCATCAGCCACCACACCGTTTGGTTTGAATTGGAGGTGGGAGTCCTTCTCCAATATTGCAATGGCAATTGGAAGATAATAAGGAAATTAGGAAATTATGTTCATGCAATATAAAGCCTATTTGAAGTATTTTTTCACAAACTGTTGTTAAAAAAGAAAAAGAACATGTTATGGGCCTTATGTTGAAGGGGCTACAGTAGTTCTTGTCCAGAATTGTAACTTACACCCATAGCTAAAACTTGCACATGATCTGGATCACTACCTATTTTGAATGAATTGTTAATTGTCATGGTAAGAAATTTTCATAAAGTCCATTGATAAGTTTTCAATTGATCCTGCTAACAAACCAATAGTGTTCCCTTTTCTTGTGTTTTTGTCCTTAATAAAATAACTCAAGACTTTTTGAGCCTGATGCTGAGGATGTCAATAGTCACTGTGGCCACCCTCTAGTTTAGTGGGGAACTGCTTGTTCCACCAAATGTGCCTATCTCACAATTTTAGACAATCTTTTAAAAGAATATCCTGTATTCAGATAATGATCTGTATCATCACCAAAGTTCAACGGATTGCTCCTTGGCATGAGGGAAACCTCTGATGAAATTTTATTTTATTGAAATTTGTCCATGATTTTTCAAGTTATCCTGTACACAGACAGACAGACAAACTCTCCTAAAAACATAAGCTCCTTGTCGGGGATTAAGAAGTATGGCCATTTGATTTAGGGCAGCATTTCAAACATTTCATTTGACTCAACCAACATCAGAAGTGGAGATCTGTATGCCCTTTGAGAAGGGCTCTTTTGAAGATTACCTACTTTTTACAATTACCACTAAAACATATCTGATATTGATTTCAAAACATTTCATTTTTACAGTTGATAAATTATATATACATAACTAGGTAACTGCAGAAGGGAAATTTCTTTAAGATTTTTCAGCCTAAAATAAACCCAGAAACCTTTTTCCTTTTTCCTTATTACCTCACCAATGTGCCTCTTTGTTTTGGTCCACCACCTAAAGTCCTTCTAAAATGTGATCTTTGCCATGTTAGCTCATGTTAGGGGAAAGATCTCTGCTCCAAAATACTCAGCCCTCCTGTCAACAGCTAAACCAAGACTTGTTTATTGGACTGAAAGCCAAACAGACTTAATTTGTCCCTGCAGGAAACAAAGTGAACTACTCTAGAGGGTAGCTAAAGATGCAGCTACACTGCTTTAGAAACCCATTTCATAGATCTATTTTATGTTTGAGTCTTTACAGCGGTATGGTAAATCATACTGTAGTAGCGGATACTGAAATTAATAAAATATAATTAAGTGTTTATGTTTACCCAGAACAATTTATTCTCAAAGTATTAAAAAGAGAGTTTCCTGGAGCATTGAGCCTAAGCTCATCCCGAAATCAAAGCAGGATATGAGGCTAAATCTGGTTTTATGCTTATACAGCAGTTTGAATTTAAACTGAAACAGAATTTCTAATAAAAGCAGCAGTTCCAGGCTCTATGCCCTAACCTCTAACCTCTGCCACTACCCAACATGTGAATTAAACATTCCAGTGTTGTAACCCTTTTGAAGATGGATACTTACTTCAGTGATACCTATACATTTAGTGCAAAATTATCAACCTTACACAAAACTCCTAAAAACATTACCTATTCACAATTATTTATGATTCTGCATAATTTCATCTACCTTATTCAGACTCAACAGGAAACTTAAAGTTTCTCAAATGAATACCAAAGATTATTATTTTGTTTACACAGATGTAAAAGATTCTTTTTTTAGATGCACAGCATTGCATTTTGCTTGAGGATATTCTTAAACAGAAATAAAATGGAATGCTGCATTTTCAGAAAGAACAATACAAAGTATGTGTTAGCCTTCTATTTTAGGTCTGTTTACAAGGTCTACTGAGCTCATTGGTGGAGAAACTCAGTGTAATGTGAATCCCAGCCATAAGGAAATAAAAATACAGCAGGAGTAATTTGTATGTCTGTAATGGAAGGTGTGAGGTTGCAGGTTTATTTTTGTTGGCATATTTCTTTCTTTTTAAAGCCACTGGCTTGTGAAGAAAGACATCAATAAATTTGTATTGCAACATGTTTCTTAATGTGACAAACTTGTACTAACAGGTTGTTTCACAGAGAAGAATTTGTGCCCTCCTGGAAAAAAATAGATGAAACAGCCAACTGTCAAAGCATGTAAAAAAAGGCAGTCTCTATATTTTCATTTAGCATCATTGAGGTGAGGGTATGTTAAACAGTTTGCTATTATCATTTCCTCTAAGAAACGGTTAGCCCTTGGTATGAATCTTTCATCAAGGTCCTGAAGAAGAAACAATGAACAATGTAAAAAAATTAGGACCAAAAGATCAAAGCACTGGCAGTAAAGCAGTTGCTCTGCTCTTACAAAGATTTCCACTGAGCAACAAGGAACTAATTTCATTGTGTGTTTTGGTGTTTTAATGTTTTTATGCCCAACACTTTGTATGCTGCTGTCTTAATGCTTGAAAAGTTGGCTTGGCTAGTTCTACAGTTCATGCAAAGATCAGCCTGAAACCTGATACTTTTTATTTCTGTTTAACTATCCATCCATTGTCTTCCACTTATTTGACATCTGCCTGTAGGGCTGATAGGGAGGAAGGGAAACCCAGACTTCCCTCTCACCATCAACAGCCTCCAGCTTATTCTGGGGGATCCCAAGGTGCTCACAGGACAAACAGGATGTATAATCTCTCCAGCAGTTTCTTACCTTATCTCTAAGCCTGGCATCACTCCTACAATGCTTTGTCCTTCCACCATTCTCTGAGTGTACAGATCATTTGTTGTCTTTTTTAGAAATTAACACATTATGCTCAGTCATCAATAACATACTTGATCCGTATATATGATGGATGGCCGGGAAGAGCTGTCCATCAATACGTTGGGCAACAGACATGGTAGAATTGAAACATTAACTGGAAAGGCTTTGATTTGTGACAGAACGGAGGATGCATGGGTTAAGGAGTCTTTAAGAATGAGCGGTACGGACCACACAGAGAGGAAGCTCATTTTGGCTGCTTGTATCCAGGATTTTTTTTCTTCCAGTGATTATCTAATTCTAATTGTCATATGACGGAGTCGTGATGTTGAAGATCAGCAAATCCAGGGGTTTAGTTGTTTTACTTTCTTCACCATGACAAACATTGTGGACACAACAGACAAAGCCCTAATTTGTCTGCACATCCCCTATTTAATCTTTCTATCACACTTGAACAAGACATTAAGATACTGAAACTTAAACTCCCTTTAAGAACTTAACTCCCTTGAAGCAAAGATCTTTACCAACCCAAAGGGTCATTTCACTATTTTTGGTCAAGAACAATGGCCAGGAATAGAGCTGACTCTCCTTCGTCACATCGCCTCAGTCAGTGAACCACCAAGGGGAAAACTACAGTAGAGATCAAGGCCAGAAGAAGCTAACTAAACTACTTCACCTGCAAAAAGAAAAGATCATATCTTGAGCTTCCCAAACCAGACATCCACATCTCCGCCACTACACCTTGAATTCCTGTTTGTGAATACCACAGACAGGATCAGGGCAAGCTACGTCCATGGCATACGCAAACGCAAACTGGGAACAGGATCAGCAGCAGCCACACCCCCACACTCCCTTCTTTCATTATTATGTTATTAAATGAACATTGTTAAATATTATGGGGGCTTTCTGTTGGTGCAGGTTACTGGAGGAACTGTTACAGAAGGAAAAGGAGTATCAACATGTCCTGAAAGCCACGCTGCAGCAGAGGACTCACGACTTGGAGCTGATCCGAGTTAGACACAGACCACCAGGTGAACTCCCTGACTCACTGTTTTGTCGTTAAGACATATTTTTCCTTTTAAAGTTCTTTATTACATCCTGTGTTTATACAGGGTGAGTCAGTCTGCTTCCTGTTCACATGAAATCACCCTTTTACCGATAGGAATCAAAAGTACATTGAATTAAATGAAAGCCCCATAATTAATTATTTTCTCCTGAATTAATGAATATTAAAAATTATATCTTTACCCGAGATGTTTGGAAAACAAACTCTATCTTTTAGAATTGTCCAGAAAAACAAATAGATTTAGCCTTCGTAAAAATAGTTACTTATTAAAGCATGTCAAAAAAACGGTTGTCTTTCTGACATTCTTGGGCCTTGTCTTGGTGGATTTAGAAGTTCAGTTATAGGCTCCAGAAAAAAAGACTGCACTTTCTGTAAAGAGGTCTTGAGGAGGGATTGATAAGCCAATCAACAGCAGCCTTACAGAATGGCTGAAATGTTCCTTCTGTTCTTTTCTAAGACACTTCCTAAGCAAACCTACAACTATTAAGTGGTTATGGTCAATGATTTAGAGAGCCTATCACCTTAATCCTATAAAATGTTTGAGAAGGTTTGAGAGCCAGGCAGCTTACAGACATTTACATTAGTTCTGTAGGGAGGAATTGGCCAAAGGTAGTTATAGGTTTAGGAAATGTGAGAAGCAAGAAGAATGCCCTAAATTTTAGCCCCAAATCCGTCAACACACTAACAACAACTCTGAAGTTGAAAAAATTTAACAAAAAAGGTATTTTATAAAATCAATTTTCAAACATTTAGATATAAATTATAATAACTGAAAGTAGTCTTGGCCATTTTAACTGGCCAGAAGCAAAAAAAGTGTTGTTTGATGTAGTGTCAGACTAGAACATAAAGATTATATCTGTTGATTATTATTATCAAAATGTTAAATCATAATTTTTAGCATATTAAAATTTTTCTTCTCTTGAAAAGAGAAAAGAGGTAAACAGCTCAATTTAAAAAAAAGCTCTCATAAACTTAGACACAATCTGATTTAGGTCATGAATTTATAGTTGGAGTCTGTCATTCATTTGAAGTCATGAAAGGTTTGGGAAGAACAACAAGATGAGACTGTAATTAATAAAAAAATTGACTTTTCAGAGAGGACCCATTGTGTAAAGATGAGAACCTGCATGAATAAATGGATAAATTGTTAAAAAATGAACAGAACATGGGAGGCCAAGACTGTAATCCTCCAAGAGGGAGGAGATGAAATAAGAAAAATAGAAATAAAAGAAAAGCTTAGACACTAAAATACTCTTGTCAGGATTTAAAAATGGAAAAGGTTATACAAAGATGAAAGAAAGTTGAAGAAACCTAAATGTGCTACATTTTTCAGACATTTCACCTCCCTCAATCCTCCACGTCTCAGCAGACCATGAGCCAGACAAGCTGCTCACTGATTGGCTGAAAGAGCAGGGGGCTGATCCAGACACCATCGAAAAGGTGGATAATCTGTAGTAATATTAAAAATCTTGTCTTTCAACTTTACATCATTGTTGGGTCTTTTTTTAACAACTGTTTAATCTTTGGGTTGCAGTTTGTGATGGAAGAGTACACACTGACTGACATTCTGAGTGACGTCAGCAAAGATGACCTCCGCTCTCTTCGTTTACGGTATTCACACAACAACCATTAAAAAAACACTAACTTTCAGCTGTTTGACACTCAGCTAAAAAAGGTGTTTTCTTAAAAATTGTCTTCCAATAGAGTCTAAATTTTCCCTTTGAGGTTGGATCAGATATTTCTCAATGATTTGTAGCATATTTAATATGAGTTCTTATATAAAATCCCAGTAGACTTTATAGTTATCAAGGGACTGTAACTTACTTACTGTATATCTGAACGATTTTTAGTTTTTTTTGACGTTTTTTTTTTCTACCTGCTCAGAGGCGGAGTCCTTTGCCGGATCTGGCGAGCCATTCAGCGACACAGAGAGCGAGAGAGGCTGACTGCTGACAAACACTCCAAAGGGGACGTATAACTGCAAGTCTAGCTCTAATTTCGGAGGAAATATGCGCACATTGACACATTACCAGCCCTACAGGGCCGACTTTTTCTTTCTCCTGCCTGTCTCCTTTGTGCCTTTTCACACTGACAGACTGAATCCATGCAGAGTCCTTACTGATCAGACCAAAGCACTTTAGTGCGGGCACTACTGTATGTATTTTCATGTATATTGAAATGTGTATTAGGAAATTTTACAATTATGGAAGCTGAGTTCTTTGTTGTTGTTTTTTTAGTATTTCTATCATATCTGAAAAGCTACTGTTTGTTGAAAGTGAGAACATTAACAGGTCTGTGGTTTGACCCTTTCAGAGAGCTCTGGTGCCTTAAATCGCTCATGCAGGTTTTGTAGATTAAATTCATTTAGGTTAGGGACATTCTGCCACTTTAAGCTAAATTGAATCTGGCTTAAGTCTGAGCAGCTCCAATTAAATGCTTTTTCTGCACAAATAACAACCAAAGGTTTTAAACTAAAAGGCGATGTGACCTTTAAAGAATACGTTTGTTTTAAATCCAGCCCTCTAGTTTTTGTGGTGCAGTGAGCATCAGTTAGAGCCTTAATTTATTTTTGTCCCAACTCTCAGATCTAATCTAAACCTGTAATCTGTCATTAGGTTTTATATTAAACATCTGCAGGGAAAGAGTTGCTGGACGTTTGTTTGGGCATATCAACAGTTTTGCCGGATGGGGTTATTAATGAGAATGTCTGGCATAAAAAGACATGAAAGATTGTCTTGAAATTTTTTGCTGTTTTTTTGAGAGTTTAATTTAAAGTCGTAGGGAAGTCATATTTGAATGTCAAATCATTCTGGCTTAAACATGCATATAAATGTACACTTTATCAGAAAATATTTTAATTCTTTCTTAAAATCTGTGGCGGTTTTTTCGTTATCTTATGCAGGCCAGTTAGTTGTACGACAGCTTGTGAACCTAATTGTAATTGTAATCTGGTGTGTACTCTCCTTACCTGTTTCCAATTATTGAAAAATTTAAAAATAAAACAGCCATATTATCGGGAAGAGAAATATGTACCTTCACATGCATTAACCCAGTGGTTATGAAACTTTTGTTGCTTGGGCTCTATTTCTTTTATAAGAAAGGTCCGTCACACCTGCATGGAGCAACATCTCAAAAACTAACTGAAGTAAATTATATATTGCAATAGGTGAACTAGAATCTCTTTAAATCATAAAAGTACTACCTTTTAAAATGTAATTAAGTTTAACTGTTTATTTCACTGTATACATAATTGCTGTCAATTGAAGAAAAAGTGAACTAGATATTTTGTTTTAGCTTCCATCCTTTGTTTGAATTCATTGGAGCGAGTTAACCAGATGATAAAAGGTACAATCTCATCATATGTTCATATGTCTACGATACTTTTGGCTTTAATAAGCAAGGAATACTGATCAGTAATGGGTTTAAGTTTTATTTATTGTGTTGTAATCAGGTATGATGTACTTTACCATGTCAGCTTGTATTAGTTATGTTATACAGTCTACAGATGCACCAATCAGGTTTTTCTGATACTGATACCTGGGCTGAACGTATTGGCCGACATCCGACACCAATCCCATTGAACTGTTGAATTAACCAAACTTTATATCTCTTCATGTGAGTGAAGTCTTTAGCCTTGACATAAACATTGTTAGGAAAAGGACATCAAAAGAAAAATACACTAGCAAGGGGGAAAACACTTTCTGTGTCAGAACGTATGTGGCAAATTTATTTCCATCTTGTCTTATGCGGGTTTACATTTCTTTTTCAAAAAAGTTAAATAAGATCCCTAGTGACTTGTTTGCGAACTTGTTTGCAAAATTTGGAAGGTTGCTTGTATTTTTTTGTTTCCATTAAGATGTTGTTATGCAATACTTCAAAATGCACATAAATTTTATTAATAGATATTTGTCTGATATATAGCTTTAAAAGAATTGAACTCTCAAGGTCGGACATTTATTTAATTTGTTTTGTACCTCTCCCCCTTGTGAGTACAGTATCGTTGAACTGTACTGATCAAAAAACAGAACCAAAAAAACTTTTAGAGATGCGGGCTCAAGCTAGTTTGAGAGGCTCATTATCTTCAGTCACATGAACCCTGTACCAATAAAGTCTGAAACGCCGCTCAGCACAGAAGAAGCCGCTAAAAGCATAATAAAATGCAATAAAATTCTCCAGTCATCTGGAACACGTCAGATACATTGATATATGTTGGAGATAAGTCCTGGATAAGTTACACATAAGTTATGCACAAGTTACTCATAGGTTTTGAAAAAGATAGACACCACGACTTATGAGTAACTTACACCTAACTTATGTCAACGATCAGATAGCTTACCTGAGCCTACGCTGGCATCTGGAAATGTTGGGCATGCTCAAAATTCCTCTACGTACTTGACGTATGATGACGTGTGCCACCAGCATGCTCTTATTTTTGCAAAGCGTACCCATAACTTATCCAACGTATGCCAGCGTTTTTGCCAGATTTTCATACGTCAGGCATACGCTGGTTAAACCATCAAGGTGTGACAGGTACTTGCACGAGCGATGCAAACAGCAACTTTTTTATCAGAGCATGCACGAGAAGAAATGGGCTGGTGTACAGTATGCTCTCACACGCTTTAATAGGCGTTCCCTCTCGGGAGCAGGTACAGGGTTGTTTGTGTGCATTTTTTTTTCTAAATGTGAGAGGACGGGTCTTTTCAAAAAGTTGCAAAAATCCTCTGCTATACCTTTAAGTTGAGGTGTTTGGCCATAACAGACTTGAGTATTCTTCAAACTTGCTAGTTTGGTCTGAACTGAGAAGTTCAGGCCTGGTAGCATCATGTTATGTAGCTGTCCCTCTATGAAGGACACCAGTCTGTCCTGTGGCTTTTGCTACTGGAGGATCTGCTGCACATTACAGAACAGATGGCTACATGGAAAGGCAAGGACATTATGGGGAAATATTGCAGCAGTATCTCAAGACATTAGATATGATGTTATGTTTGAATATAAATGCATCTTCAGAATAGACAATGAACCTAAGCAGGTCACACATTTAGTCTCAGTGTCTCCTGCTGTTCAGCTGGAATGATTAAACATTCCCCCGTTAAGCATTCATGCTGTACGTGAAACCAAGCGATGATCTGTACACATTTTCACCTTGAAACAATGCTTAAATAACAAACAATTTTTTTTTTATAGCTGACCTTGAGTGCATTCACATTGTATTTACCAGGAAGCTGCTGAATGTCAAAACATTTATTTCCCACAACAGGGAAACAAATAATTAAAAAAAACAACATGCTGACATGTTCAGACACTTTCAGAAGAGCATTCTGTTGATCATTTTGCAGCAGCTCATGCATCGTTGGGAGGATACAACAAACGGCCGACTTGTGTCGTAACTGTTCAGTGGAAAGATTTGTCCTCACAGAAGGAGTAAATTCCATCTTCCTCTGGGCATGTCATTAATTCCTGGATGGAAAACAGCCCAAAGTTTCATGCATGAATGTGTGCACATTAAAAAGTGTGACTTAATGAATGCTGTTTCTAGTGTAATAGTCAGTGGTCACAAAACTATTATAGAAATATAGTCCATGTGTCATACATTTATAACTCTTGTCTTCAGCTGTCAATGCTTAATGTGCTGCAATAAAAAGCATCCACAGTCGTGTCCTCATTTAATCCTCGGGTGAAACCACAGACCCAAACAAAATTTAAATTTATCAAAATTACTTATATTTAATAAATCTTCAGATTTGTTTGGAATAAAATGAAGTTTTCTCAATGCACAGATTATAAGCAAACAGAAGTGTTTTAGTCGGGATAAAAAGACTGAAGAGATCCTAAGCCTTGTGTTGTTCACAGGCCCCCTTCTTACGCTCATGACATACCTTGACAGATATTAACTACTTATTATCGTCTTTTTGTTTGTACGTGTGTAATTTATTGGCTAAAGCAGTCTTTTCTCCTGTTTTTTCTTTTTTGGTTTTGTTATTTTTGTTGTTATAAATCATTGTTTGTCTGCTTTGCAACTGCAATAAACTTATGAATGTTCTCAAAACTTGGCTGTGGGCTTCATATTTCTTGTCACTTTCTGTGCAAAACTCAAGTAAAAATATATAATTTGACTTCTAAGACTTAAAAGTCTCCATGAAACATAAATTACCTATTCTGTCATCTAGTACATCTATGTGAAAAAATAAATTCGATAACTGAAATGAGATGACAAAAGGTTTCTGTCTGTAAGCTACAAACGGTTTTTCTCCTGCAGCAGAGTCATTTATGTACATGTTTTAACATGGCCTGCATTCCTTCCATCGGTTTTATTTCCATCTTACTGATCCACCCTGTTTAGATGATTGTCTGACACCTTGAGTGCAGAGGGAAAGTTAAACAGTTGTTAGTAATTGATTATGCCTATTTATAGCTTCTCTCCAGGCGATCTTCGCAATAATTCTCATCTTTTTTAAAAGTACTTCTAATTTTGGAAAGCAAAAATACAAATTAACCATGTGATTTCTTTGATCATTTAATAAACTGCCATCACGGGGGCTTATGGAGAACTTATTTAAGGGAGAAATGGGAGTTGTTGTTTTTTTTTTTCTGTGTTGTTATGATGTGTTACATTTACATAGCAACTGGGAAGTTGGGGGGATGTAATTTTCAAGGTGATTCAAGTGTGCAGTTTGCCAATTTTGGACAGTAGTATCCATGGTTTGCATATAGCCATTATAGTCACCATTACAAACATAACATTTATTAAAACAGTCTTACTTGGTATTTTGTGCACATTTACACTGATGAAACATCTTGCCTTATCTGGATAGTAGTACGTATATAACAGACTGCATTTTAGTTGTTGGATAGACATTAAAAGTAAAAAAGCTTTACTACTGCTAGAGCAGGTAGCAGCCATAAATGCAGAAGTCAGCCATGGCCTTGTATCAAAGCAAAAGGAACAAATAATTAGCAGTTCGCTTTTCACCTCCAACGGCTAACTTTCTATAATAAAAATCCTTAAAACTATCACATTTACAAAGCAGTTGTAAATACCTCAGATGGTTATTTACATAGAAGTCTTGAGTTATTTACAGACAGTTGTATACAATTGTATAGTTTGGTTTCTCAGCAGTAATATCCCAAAGTAAGGATAGGTGGTTTATTTTTTTGTAAAAATGATTTATTCTTTTAAAAGACTACTTAAAAAAAAATGCACATGCACAACCCTGTACCAGCCCATGAGAGGAAACGCCTTTTAACCGTGCGTGAGTGTGCATGAGCCCATTTCTCCTTGTGCACTCTCTGTTTAAAAGTTGCTGTTCTCATAGCTAATACATGCTTACTGTGCTCAAACGTCCTTACAGTAACCCCTAAATACCTCAATCACTATATAGAGTGGACACTATATAGTGGACTTTATAGCAAACCCAGTTAACTTACCGTTCAGACAGTTGATCACTGCTTTTTGCTCAGTTGGTCACGCAACTCCTCCTTCACTGCGCAATATCTGCACCATCTTTACTATTAGTCACTGCTGTCGGATAGATACAGCCTGCGGTGACAGCAGGCCGCTGTGACAACCAATCCCATTATGCTTTCCGAGGAGAGCTCTCAGCACAATCTACCTCTATAGAGGCCTTTTTTTTCTCTTCATACACTTCGTAGACACTTTTTCTCTGTCATTTTCAAAGAACCGCTGTGAGGAAGCTGACCTTCAATGACTGGCTGAAACCGTAGCTCACCACAGAAATACACCTGATAGTGCGCATGCGCAGAAAAAAATTGATAGCTGGGGATGAGCACATAGGATGGCCTTATGTAAACATATCACCAGAATGACTGACAATTAGGAGGACCACTTATTTGATTAGCCACCCAGAAATAATAGATTGTCCTCTATACCTTTAAGTAAATAATCTAAGTACTTTTGACACCTCCATATTCAGGGTGAAGAGACTGTGTTAACTTTTGCTAAAATTTTGCCAACCAAACAAACGGTTTACACTGATACTGGGAGGCAAATTTTCTCCTTTGTTATGGAAAGCTCTGTGTTTAAACCTAGAAGCTCTGTCCCTGATTCTTTCCTGAGAAGAGATCACTCAGAACAAACACATTTAAATAAGACTTTACAATGTATATGCATTAAATGACTATAAAACATGACAACAGATTTAACAGAAATGAAAGACCAGATAGGTTGCAACAATACAATGATAGAGCTTACAGTCGGGCTCTCTTCATCCAGTAGTTGGCATTGAATAATGGTTAAAAGAAGCATCACATCTCCCATTATTATATCATACACATATTGTTTGTAAATGAGGAGACATCACTGGCTCTAGTCATATTTTAAGAAAACACACTGTTCTAAATGCAGGACAACCCAATTGCACACTGACAGAGCTCTCTCTTCTTAACTTCACAAACTGCTGGGGAAAACACCAGCCTCAACACTAACAGCCAGGCATTAGGGCTCACCAAGCACGTAAATGAATAATACAAAATAATCCTATATTTTACTTACATCCTTTAAATTAAGGTTACAAATATGTTTGTGTAAAACTTTCCTTGAATATTCAGCTTAAAGTTAAATTAAATGTCATTAGTACAATTTTGTAGTTTTTACCTGCCTCTATTATGCCACTGCAATGTACTTTCCTCTTTTTTCCTTTAATATGCTCTGGTTATGCACACTTTTTTATAAAAAAAAAAATCCTCTGTGTTAACAATTCAAATATGATTCTGTATGAGAATGAAGGTTAATTACTCTTCCTGTTTAGTCACCTGGTATTACTGATGGCTGAGTAAATTATTAAACCTGTTCTCCATGCCTTGCATGAGAGCTTTTTTTTGGCATTCATTAACCTAACTGTTTGTTATTGCTTTTGAGTTTCTTTTTTGAAAATGAATGGTTTTATTCAAATAAACATTGAAACTTAGATAAAAATGATTAATTCATCTTCAGCAAATTTGAGTTTTTTTTATTGGGTTCAAAACAACATTAAGTACATGAAAAGTGTATCCTATCCCAATACATCTGAAGTTATTTGTTTGATTTTAAAATTATAATTTATTTTTTAGTATTGTATCTTCAATAAGACTAAATTTAGTCTTATTGTTGTTTTCAGGTATTATATACCTGCAAGAATTTAGTTTTGGGGATTTACTTAAAATTAAAAAAAAAAAAAAAATTTTTTTAATAATTTTAGACCTTACCATGAAAAAAAATATTTGACTCAAAACAAATCTCTAAAAAAACACAAATTTTAAAATGAAAATTTGTTTAAGTCAAAGAAATGAAACCTAAGCATTTTGTAGAAGGTTGTTTGGATTGTTTTTTTGTTTTTTTTAATGGCTCATGTTTGCGTCACCAATAAGGAAGTAGCCCTATCACTTCATGGTCTAATTATAGATTCACGCAAGAATGTTGTGACAAGACTTTTAGAGCACCTTTCACAGCGTTGTAAATACCTTGGCTTTCCATTGATAAATATGTCCCATGTCTTGTGAGAACTAAAGGGAAATGTTAAATTTATATCAACTAAAGTAGATTATATGCTTTACATTTAAGTAACAATAAATGAAAGAAGTCTATTTGTTGCCATTTTTATTCATAGGGAACATTCACAGTGCTGGTCTAGTCCATGGATCAGTCCAAGGATCCGTAAGACTGAAAAAAAAAGAAATACTTTTACCTTCAATTTTTGTGCAGCATTACAGTAAATAAAAAACGTATTCACTATACCATATTATGCAATGCATAAAAGCTGTATTAAACGATCATGACAATATTTTCTAATTCGATTTTATTGAGCTCTTTAGACTAGGCCACATATTATACAGGATTGTTTTGAATTGCACCAATGTTACAGTGACCAAGAATTAAAAAAAGATGAAGAAGAAAGTCTCTTTATTTTATTTGACAGGACCAACAGCAGATTATATTTCCCCTTCTGGGATGTTTTGGGTTTTTTTTTCTGAGATTGCAGGATTTTTTGTGTGTTTGTGGTTTTTTTCAGAGATTACAGTGTTGATATGTTGGCAGCACATTTCCCTGACTGTGTTACACTTACCGTTTGCGGAGTCTGTTGTTCAGAAGATATAGGAAATCATTCTCTACGAGCAGAGTTTGACCCTGGACCTGCGGGTGAGTCATTCTACTCATTCTTTTACTATAACTCTTTTTATCACTGAAGATTCTCAGTCATCCAGGTCATGGTCACGCTTGAAAAATTCACTTTAGGTACCTGCATATGAAGCTTTCTAGACTTCACATCCAGTTGCCTAAACTGAACCTTTCAAGCTTAAACTCATTTCTTTTCACTTTTGTATGAATACTGGTTACTTTTCTCAATAAAATATGCATGATAAGTATGTGGTTGTAAATAAATCCTTCTTAGCTTACTCATGTTTTGATTATCTCTATTATAATTACCTGTAAGCATATAATGCCATTCAATGATCTTTATGAAGAACATCAAATGACTCATGGGTGAAACTAATGAGTCAGATATTGTAATCTGAATATAAAGAAAGGTAATTCAAAGGATTAAAACAACTATGACAACACTTTTTGCTAAAACTTTATTTGCAGTCATAAAAATGTGCAGATAACGTTTCTCAGTAACTTGATCTTCTTTCTCAGTGTCAGAGGTTGGTATTTCAACACAGAATGGCATTCAAAGCTGTCTTGGGATGCCAAAGTACAACCATTTTGCAGTCATGTTAAGGTTGGATCAGTGATTACCAACTTGTTTGTTCTCTCATTCGCTTTAGTAATCTGAGCAGCATTTGACACACAGTGATTATTTTGCACAGTACTGAAGCCATACAGACAAACAAGCCTCAGATTTACAGGCCCAAGCGCATCTTAAATGCATTGTTAAGCAATGTTTCGGTAGGTTGACATATTCAAGAGATCTTCAAAAAGAACCGCACATTTCCATATAAGAAATTAGTAAAGTCCAACAAGTGAACATTTGGCAGTTTGCTGATTTATAGCTTGAAGGAAAGTAATCCACTTATGTTCTTCTGCTGTTTTTGTTTTAAAATATACTGTTGTTTTTTAAGGAAATAAAAAGCTTCTGCACAAACAGCAGAGCTGATATCATGACTTTTGGCCTAAGCACCAGTTTAAAGTGCTGATTTTTCTTAAGTAGGCTTAGAGAAAGCATTTTAAAGCAAAAACTGGGGAAAAAAATGGTCCTTTATGTGCTTAAAATATGTGTTTAAAAGTTGAGCAATTTAGAAGGTCAAGCAAAAATGTAATAAAATGTCGGCTTAATCTATTTGATGAGGGGTGGTAGGGACTTTCCACATCTTATTCACTTCAGCAAAGACTTGTTTTTAATCGCTGTTTGGACAACAGAAACACTGCACCCCCTGGTGTAGCTGTTTTTCTAATAACTAAGGGCTCCTCACAAATGTTTATTGCAAGATTCCCCTGCTGTCAGAAATACATTCTCATATTTATTATTTGCATTTTATACATGTCTTGGAAATAAAATAAAAACATATGAACTGCTTACAGGGTCACTGGTGCTCATGAACCTGTAAAATTAAATTCCAGTCCAAGGAGTACACGGACGAGGGTTAATGAGCGACGACCTTATGGGAATTTTTCTGTGGTAACCATGAGTAGAGGAGAATGATTTGAAGTGTAGCACCTTTTAACCCTTAAACAAAAGTCTAAATATTGTTTTCTCTTCTCACATTTCAAATACCAAATCATTTTGTTATTCTATCAACAAAGGAGTATAATTACCTGCAATTTAAGATTGCTTATGCACCTCTATCCCATTCTCTTTCTTGTCTGGCATGGAGTTGGCATATCAGTCTGTTTTACTTCACTTCAGGCCATCTGACCCATTTTGGATTGACTACAGGACGAATATGACTTCAGTAAAAATAGAATAAACATGTTGAAAAAACAGCAACAAAGAAAGTGGGTTTTATCAATTTCTTTTTTTTTCTATTTCATCTTAGATTTAATTGTAGATGGATTGGTCTCCATGTAAACAGAATTGAAAGTAGCGTTTTTTTTCTTTCTACAATTAAGTTAACCTGGATTTCATCAAAAGATGGCTTTCTAGGATGCAATGTTTAAAGTGATAACAGTGGATTTCTTTTAAATTTGGTGGCTGCATATCTCATCTGCCCAGTTTGAGTGAGAATTGGCTTCAATAATGGTCAACAGAGAGTGTTTGCAGCCACTGTGATAGATTTAAAAATATTATTACATTTAAAAGGTTTTCTAAAGATGTTTCTTTGTAACCATATTGGTTTATCTTTGCTTTAAATTCTGTCAAAATGCAGTAACTCTTGGAGTGAAGCATGATGTTGTCCATATCCAAAGTACATTCAGGTTTAAAGTAATTCCTCAATTCAATCTTCTTGCTGGCGGTTATATAATAGGCCCGATCAGAGGCTTCTTTTGGATGTTCATATTTTTTGAAATTCTTAATTTTTAATCATAGTTACACATTTGTTAAGTAGAAACATGCCCTTAAGTTTTCCTTAAAGCTAAAATAAAAATCTTTCTTATTGGTCTAAGTATGACAGATCTGTTATGAAAACCCAACTTTCTTTTCCAAAGAGCTTTTGTGAGAGAGGTAATGAAGAATTAGAAAGTCCTAATGCTGTGTATGTTATCATGTTGACCTGAGTATAAGATGCAACATGTCTTGAGGTAAACCACAAGTTTTGCTTTTCAGTTCATTTCCCTCACGATGACATGTTAAAGATCTCACCAATTCTTTCCTGGTTTATAATGAACAACATGGTCATTCTTTATCCAGCCCCTGGGAAGTCCCATATCTTGGCCTATATAAGAAGGGAGCGCAGCACATGTAGCAATCACTGAAAACCTTCAGACCTGTCACACCTCTTCAGCTTCTCTCCAGTCAAAGTGAGAACACCGGTCGAGTGAGAATGGAAAACAGAAAGGCATGCCTCTTTGCAGCTCTCTGCTCACTCCTTATCGTTGCCAGCTTCATCGACAGCTCGGAGTCAGGTGAGAGAGAAATTCGTTAAATTACTAACATCTCTGTGGTGGAAAAATCAGGGTCTAAGGGTAGGACGATAGGACATGAAGATCTGAATCATCAGTGTTTGTTTTGGGTTTTTTCACAGCGAGCTGTTGCATGAAATACTTCAAGAGGAAGCTCCCCTGCAAAGCTGTGAAGGGTTACAACATTCAGACCATTAATGGCTCCTGTGACATCAATGCCATTATGTGAGTAATGACCCTAACTTTCAAATAGCTGTAGAAATACTTTACAATTTTAACAATGTAGCTGTTAAGGAGAGAAATCAGTCAACTACTGCTTTTATCTGCACTAAATGAGCTACGCATATAAGTTCAGATCTTTTATCATTTCAAATGTACTGCAGCAAACAGTTAAAGCAACCCTCCAAGTACACTAAGCTTCCTATAAAAATTTGAGACCCCCCAAAAAATCCCAAATACGAATGAAAGCTTGTTAAAGATTTACCAAAGACACTGCGCGGGTCCAGAACCAGCTCATTCATGTGGTTGTTCCTGTCCTGTTACAGCTTCCACCTCAATGGTAGGTTCGTGTGTGCTGATCCTTTGAAAGTTTGGACCAAGAGAGCAAGGAAGTGTGTGGAGTAAGTCAATCCAACATTCCTTTCTTTTGTGTGTCAGTTTTGATTATTTAATTCCTGTTATTAATTTAACCTCTGCTGTTCTTTGCAGTGAAAGGAGAAGGAAGGTTGAACGTATCCTGGGAGAAAGAGACTGAAAAACTTAACTCTACAGCCTGGAGCCAAAATTACTGAGGAAAATAAGAGAAATTATATTTAAGCTTCTCTTAATGTTTTGCTAAAGGTTAACAGGGATTAATGGGAATATTGGTTAACTGTGACCTATTTTATTTGTTCTGTTTCATAAACAGGAATATGTATTATTAATAATACCCCAAGTAAAGCTTTAAATGCTGGGCAGTAACCTCTTGGAGGTTGATATCTCTGTTTTTTTTGCTCTAAGCAAAAAAGAAAAAAAAAAATACATTTTTAATAAATGTCTAAAATTAATTCAAGCTTGTTTATGTGCTTATGTTACCCTGAGGCATCTATTGTTGAATAATAAAAGGTGCTAAGATAAATGTTTTGTTTTTATTTTTTTCAAACAGTAATGTTTTTTATGTGATTTAATCAAAGAAAATGACATTCAAGTCTGAAAATAAAGTAAATAAAAAAATACAAATATAACAGCTGATGTAAATTGTTTAATTAATCATTACCTATAGTAATACATAAAAAACACAAAATACACAGCCTTTGGTCTTCTAAACTAACTAATATTTCCTTTAATATAATTTGCTTGAGTCTCAGTTTGCACCAAATATTATTTCCAACAATATGCAAAAAAATATAATCTGGTTGAGAGAATGCCATCCAAGAGAAAATACCAATTTGGCTAAACATCTGGATTTTCACCAATAAAACCATCATATATTGGGGCGCTTATCTCTGGAGAGATTTGTGTGAAAATGGTGGAAAGAAACATAAACATACATTAAAAGGCTGCAAATGAAACGAGTAAAACTATATAAACTATAACTAGAAAAGAGATAAAACATGTTTTCTATTCTCAGTATTGCTATAATTTATACCATCACTAGATAAAAATGTTTTTCAACATTATTGGTCCAAATAACTAATCATATCTTAAACATTAATAGTTATAAACAAATAAAATACACATGTACTATATATATATATAACACTATATAAAATGGGCAACTGACATATTTCTATGTACAAGGCTGGATTAAGAGTACAAGGTTCCTTGGGCACAAAGTGTCTTACGCCCCCCTCTTTTTCCCCTATCTGACATACCTCTGTATAGTTTAAGCTGAAAGGGTTTATTTCCCCTTTAACATGTATTTCTAAAAAAGTCTTTGCATAAAATCACCTGTCTCAGTGCATCTGTGCTTCTTCAGTTTCATTTCTGTCCTTCTGTCTTTCTCTTCCCAAGTCTCTGTCTTCTCTAGGGATCCCAGACCAGTTCTACAGAAGGCCTGTCCTTCTGTAGAACGGGTCCTGGCCCCTGTTAGGGCCCCTGTACTGAAGATATAATACCAACAAAAGATCTAATGATTATATGTGCTGGAACAGTCATAGTGACTGATAGGTAATTTAAACCTACTAATTGTTTTTCTTGGCAGTTCTGTTTAGATTCTGATTTTTAAATTAAAGTGATAGCTTCAGTTGTATTGAGATAATTTAGTTTTAATCTACTAAATGTTATTTTGAACTCAATAAAAAAATTCAGTAATTGTCATTAAAAAGTAAAAGATATAAAAGATTTCTGAATAAGAAAATATATAATATTCCAAAGAACTGCTTTTACATCTTTTAGCAGATATTTATTGAGAAACTGGTAGAGTAAGTTCCTTTTTTCATAGTAAGGGAATTTCATTTTCTTTAGATAAAAACAACTTTTAAGATTTTCTAAAATATGAGTTTCTATCCTAAAACAGCCTACCAACATAACAGCATAAAGACAACAGGTGTGTATATGTACATATGGTGTGTATACAAAATACAAATTGACTCCGTTCTTGCCCCCAAGAAAATATATTCTAGATCCACGACTGCCTCGATGGCAAGAGGAATTTCTGTCACTACAGAAGCCAAGACTTTATATTTTACTGGAAAGGACTTAGATTTCAGAAAATTAACATAGTTATACATATTTCCCTTTTCATCAAAAGAGTACAATTCGTTTAACATAAGCTTTTTATATTACCAGTAATATCACCATTGTTGCAAATCAATTATTTACGTCGTTAAAAGTTTTCTGTGACACAATTTCCAAGAAAATAAAAGCCAATCGATAGAATTTTATTAGCCTTAAAGTTAATTTAGAGACACCAATGTTGCAACCTATTAAAAAGACCTGAAGATTAACATGAAGATTCCAGCAGTTATAAAATTGTTTTATGACAGTGTGAAGTCAGTAATTAGTCCTGACAACCTTGCAGATCCTGCACAATAGCACTGTGGCGACACCATCTGGAATGCATGTGAATGTACAACTTAAATCCAGGCTGGGAAAACATTGCATGATTTCTGCAGACTGAACCCAAATTGTTATAGGGTTGTAGGGATGCTTTAAAAGTCTAGAGCATGGATTGTAAGGGCTCCTAATACTGCTTTACTGTAAATCATAATACAATACTTTCAGGGCACTATATCCTTAATGGAAATGCCTCTGAGAAGCTTGGAATAGAAACCTGCAGAAGCTCAGCCTGCTTGAAAAAACAGTACCTTTATGGTCATTCTCAATCCTGTTAATAGAAAAGGAACCATTCAAAATTGCTTGATATTAGGCTTTGTGGTGATATTTGATGTGGTATGGTTGATGTGACCTCCTTATTGGAAGTTAGAGTTTAGGTTTGGGCTCAGTTGCAGTGGAGTCATACAGTACAGACAGTGTGGTTACTAAGTCTATGTACATGGGTAAATGCTGGTGAAGATTCTCAGTCATCCAGGTCATAGCCGTTCCAAAAAAGGTAAAGTTAAAAAACAAACCACTGGGCTTTGTTTTTTTCAAGTTTTAAGACGTTTCACCTCCCATCCAGAAAGCTATTTCAATTCAAAATGTCTGGAATAGCGTTGAGTTCCAAGCTTTATAGAGTAGCCCAACAAAGCCTTGTTATGGCTTAAAAAACATGCAATGTGAACTGAAAGAACAGGTCTGCTGCTTAGTAATGGGGAGCCGTTGAGGTTGATGATGGCCTTCAACACCGGATACTGGCCCATGCCACTGAAAATAGGAGTCGCTCGGGTCATTGTTGGCCTGGCTGACCAGGCCAACAATGACCCGAAAAGCAGTGCAAATACAAAATGTTAAAACAAGAGAGTTCAAGGACAAAGGACAGGATAAATGAATCAAGCACAGAATCGGGTACAAAAGCAAAATAAAGTAGAAAGAAAAGATAACTTAAAATTAGCTTTGTTTTTTTTTTAAGGGGTTGTGACATGTAAGAGAAATTAGCCCCCTTCTTTTTTTATTTCTAATTATACTTCCAATCCTGGGAGTTAGGAAAAAAACAAAGAAGAGGCACACCTTCTTAAGCGGCATGGTTCAAAGCATAGTCTGGAAAATACAGTACCTGAAAGAAGGCCATGAATTTCAGTGCAGGTGCCACTGGTACAGCTCCAGTGCCATGGCAAGTTATCAAAATTGGTGGCAGGCAGTGGTGGGATGTAACCTAAAATAAAAGTACTTAGTTACCGTACTTGAGTAAAATTTCTTATGTATCTTTACTTTACATAAGTAGCTTCAACCATGGATACTTTCTACTTTTACTCCACTACAATTTACATTAAGTACGTGTACTTTCAACTCTACTACAGTTTTAGAAAGCTTTTCATTACACGTTACATTCACATCATATTGTGTTTCTAATTTATTTGTTTAGTTTTGTCTTAGAATTTGGATATAATCAAATGCAACAGGGGGATTGGTCCACTGAACAACTGCAAAGTGAACAGGTAATATTAGACTCGCCTCCCCCAAGAAGAGCAAGGTGATCATCACCGAGCTTCATTCCAGAGAAACAAGCATCTAAAATTGTTTCCGGCATGTAGGTTCCGCCTAAAGAACTTTGCCAATGTTAAAATTATTTGAAAGAATTGTTCCCTTTAACTGGCTCAAAAAAATGACTCCTGGAGATTCTGGTGCCACCTTTGTCTCCCCCGAAAGCACAAGCTTCTACCTTTCAAAAACTCACACTCTAATATAAAAATATATATTGAGGTTGGTTGCTAAATGGTAAATTTTTTGCAAGTGACAGACATAAGTGAAAGTTTGTCTAGTTGTGGTCTGAAAATGTAGATTTCTCTTGTCTCATATATTTAGTTATGCTATTTATCTAGTGAAAAATGCTTTTACTCAGTTTGTTTCACCTGAAAGGCTGAGAAAATGTCTGAGCGAAGTGTGGTTTTTGACAAAACATACTTATTCCCACAACAAGCAAATTCTTTCTCAAGGTTTGTTAAAGTGTGTGTAATATGTTTTGATTCCGACACGATCGTCACAGTTTTTTCGTCAACATAAGTAAGGGAGACAAACTCTGTCTAGTCAGAACAGGGCTGAATACTGTGCTGTAACGGCTGTATGATGAACTGTTCTCTCTTTGCCAAGATATAAAATAAAGTGTCGACTGAGTGAAATCCATCAATCTCCGTTTATTTAACTAGAGTGAATAGTTGAATACTTATTTCCTACTACACTAACTTTTACAAAAGAGCCATTAGCGAGAGGTAAACCCGTTTAACGTGCATAACGGCACCGATAAGCATCCAACAGTCGATGCTAATCGGTGCTAAATTGGTGAAGAACAACTGAATTTATAACAGCCGAAGACAGGAGTCCAACCTTTTTAGTAATTTAGGCTATGGCTAACAAAGTCATTAATCACAAATAAAATAAATCCATCTCGGTTCAGTCGGATGCTACTAAAAGAAGAGTAAATCCAACCTGAGTGATAAATCTTTCATTCCGTAAAATAAACACAAGATACCATGGGTGAGAATAAAGCAGCTAATCACACAGTATTATTTCTAACAACTACGTAGGCACTAAACAATACTGAAAATAAGCACAAATAAACAAAGGGGAAGAGGGGCCCGATCAATGTCTCTGAGGAGAGTTCGAGTTTTAAGGATTAACGCATTTGAAAGTGTCCTTTAAAAATAGTAGCAGCTAAATGTGAGCAAAGTAATTAAAGCTAAATGCAGTCAAAACTGTGCAATTTACTTCGGTTTTATGGTGGAAATGAATACTGACTCAGGATTGCATTAAATTGTGGTGAGGCTGAAAGAAAATGGGTTAGCTTAGCTGGCCCCAGGGGGTCTGGTCCGGACGGGTCTAGCTGAAACAAAGGAAAGGTTAGTTCACCATGCGGCCTCTACAACTTATCTGTCATGAGGTAGCTGGGAGCTAACAATGCAGTCCACTGCAGCAGTTTCATCAGACCCACATGGCTTTGTGTGAAACTAATCAAGCATATCTATGGTTTTGACTCTTTTAATGCAATCAATCAGATGTATTAATGTTTTCATAATAAACTTATTTGCTGAGATGCAGCTGCAGTGTCCAAAACTTACCTCAGTGTTAGGAATCCAGTGGGTGTGGGCTGTGTTTTTTGTGTGTGTGTTCTCTCCCTCCACCACCAGGTGGCGCCCTGTTCTCGTTTGTTCTCCCACACACCTGCCGCTGGTTGTGCTCATTACTGAGGACTCTTAAGTGGTGGACTGTCACTACCTCGACGCCAGAGTGTTTGCCAGTTTTGAGTACTCTAGCCAAGCTGAGTTTTGCTGAGTCTAACTGAGTCTATGTTTCTCTGAGTCTAACCTTGTTTTTGTCTTTGCCTTTTCGGCAGGAAGTCATCCTGCAAACTGGAGGTTTTGGCCTTCTCCCCCTGGAAGAATTGTTTTGAGCTTCACACACTGTGCAGGGGATTAATCTCCACACGACTCGTTCAAGTTCTTCTGGAAATCGAAGTGGCAGTCCGCTCCATTGCTCCTCAAGGAACCAACCTAACCAAAGACATGTCCGCCCTCCAACGAGCCCCCCAATCTCTGTATAAACCCACACCGACTGGATTCTGGAAAGAGAGCCTTTTTCTATTAACGTGAGTCTCGTTCATCTCTGATTTTTGCAAGACGTTGTTCAAAGTTCCCACGGACCCTGGACTTACCTCTGAACTTCCCTTCTCACTTCCAGTTCCGGTGCACCAGCTCTCTGAGTTACCCTGGATCAACTTGATTTATTATTTCAATAAACGTGTTGAACTTTTCCTCTGGTTCTCTGATTGGTTTCCTGCATGTGGGTCAGATCTCTTAAAAACATCATGACACTCAATCTCTGTATCCTTAAAGGAACCCATCTTAACCCTGTGGTTACCTTAAATGCAGTCACAAGATGATTTCGACCAAAAATTTTGGAAAAATATAATTAGCAAATTTAATGTAGTTTCTGCATTAGAAGGACGGTGAGCGGTTGGTCTTAAACAGGCATGTTATTACTCAAAACCAGTGACTACTGCTAGGCATCACCTAAACAACTACAACAAACCTGTTCTTTATGGTTCTAGCATTTAAGAGAAAGCTGGAGCAGTGGGCTGTGACAGTGGATGGTGGAGGTGTTGAAATGTTGAAACTTAGGATGTAGACTTACGACAAAATCATTCTCACTATGAGAAGTAATTATTGCTCTCACCTCACAAGTCTGCTTAAAAGTTTCAATAAGTTTTCCCCAAATTTATGACAGGCCAAAGAAATACAAACGGATAGGCCGACCTTTCACCAACTTTACTAGGCATCACCTGTCATCAGAGATGCATGATGCCCTGCTAGATATGTCCTCTAACGGCATATTTTGCGAGTTTTTTGCATATGTGCTGGAAATATTAACGTTAACCTCTTGATGCTGCTTTGTGTTACATGAAATCCCAATATGTTTCAAATGATAAAGACACTAACAGCTGAAGTAAGTTACAGCCTAATGGGACGTATAAGAATATTGATCGGGCATTGGGACAGTGGGTGGTGGACAGTGTCCAGTGCATGTTAAATTGGGGGTCGGGACTCAAAAAGGTTGAGAACCACTGCTTTAAGGGATCAAACCATACCAATTATTTTTGCAATCTTCGCGATGCATTCAGTAACAGACGGATATATTACACATACAGGTTAACATGACCCTGATGGATTGTTGTAGGTAGTAATTAAAAAAAGCCACTTCACAACACATGTCCTCTTGAGGCACTTCACATATTTGATTCAAGCTGACCATAGAGAAAGGTTGGTCAGCTCAAAATAACAAACAGGGGCTTGGTGATCTTCATTAACCAGTATTTAATCCTTAAAAGGATGAGAAAAGGATAAGTAACCTACTAGGACTTCATATGTGCTCTGCCTAACAGAGGGAAATAAACCGTTTTGGCTCCTGTCTCACTCAAAGACTTAACTAGACTGATAATAACAACGCCATTCAGTTGTGTATTACAATAAATATTTGTTTTTATCCAGTAATGCTCAGTCACAACAAGAAGTAAGGCTTTAAATTTTCCATCAACAGGGATCTAAAAATCGATTAGTGAAAATCATTATTTGTAAGGTTTCCACAGAAATGTGAAAAGATCAAGTTCAACTTCAATTGAATTATCTCTTTGCATAATTTTGTCTTTACGCTCAGACTCAGAAATTGCACACAAATCAGTAATTTCATAAATTTAAGATAATCTTTTTCTTTACAATTTTTACATCAATATGAAGAAGTTTTAGGATTTTAATTAAAACAAAACAATATAGGAACTCTATGTGGAAACACAGAAGTGTGTCAATTATCTGAAATGTTTAAATCAGATACCAGCTGAGTTTTAATTCTGCTTTATCTGTGTTTATGTTGATGACATTTTAGATAATTAAAATATCTTGTAATGGGATGAAAAAAAGAGTATAATTGACTAAGACCGTGAATAAATAAATAAATAAATAAATAAATAAATAAATAAATAAATAAATAAATAAATATGAAAAACAAATAAAACATTAATTATTTAAAGCACTTCTTGCATCTATAAAAACGTTTTTGTCATAGAGATTTTATCCTGCTTCACCAACATTTATTAATGTATAAAAAGTAATAATTTTTCGACATGTTATTCTAAAGTCTGGCTAAAAACATTTACCTTTGGCTGTTTTAAATAATTGCCCCATATGTCTGAAAAAAATCGATAAAAGTCCATTGAATAAACCGGTAGTTTATTTGACATCCTGTGAGGTACCTGAATGCATCTGAGTAGCTCCGCCCCCTTTCTCCCAGACATGCCTGTTGTCGCATTTTGCCTCTTTCTCTGTCTTTCATGTTCGTGAAAAGATGCGTTTCCTCCGAAATTAACAACATAACAAACCCTGGAATATAACTGGGCTCTTTTTGAGCACCTGGACTCAGTTAACGGTAGGTTTTTTAGCGTGTTTTGCTGGCGTTTTTGCTCAGTTTTTCCCAGTGTTTTGGTGGTAATTACAATGATTAGCAACCATGTTTGGAGGTAATTAAAACAGCTGCAGAGATGCTCTAAGAAGAAATTAGGACACCATTTGTGGACGTTTTAAAACTTCCATCTTTTTAAGTATTCTGTCTGTCAGATATCGCTACAGAACAGGTTCTTTATCACTGGAAAGGTAAAACATTATTTCTATGAAACAAGCCCACTTATAATGTTCTTTTTATATATATATATATATATATATATATATATATATATATATATATATAT